TGTCACCTGGCACTCTCCCACCCTCCACCCTTTCTGATCGCCTGTAGTCCCAACCTAGAACCGAGATACCCTGGTTCTTCCCAGCAGTCACCAGTACCCCCCTATAACTACCTGGTGTCTAGCTACTCAGCCACTATGAGATCACCGAACCTCTAGCGCTGCCTACCCATGCGAGCTGGTTGCCTCTGGTCCATGTTCGCAGGAACCACCGCAAATTCCGCGTTGGGGCCTTTCCTTTTTTGGCTCTCCTCTGACAATGGCCCCAGATTGGCAGATTGGCATTTTCAGACCCTTTTTAATACCTACCATAATCTCCACGTCAGAGAATGGTCTGCCTTCAAACCTGGCCCAATTCCTGTCTGGTCGTTCCTGTCTGGCCATATCACTGAGTTCTTCATGCTTGTCAGTTTGTGTTCTACTTGCCTCTCACACTACTTTTATTCTTCCCCCATTCGTCTTTCGTCCATATAACTATGCAGTCATTTTCATTTTAATTGTATTTGGCCAACATTCTGTTTCTTGTGCATTTTTCTCTGTGACATTAGGATCGGTGTGACACCCGTTTCTGCTGGCCGTCGTTTGTCGTTGTGCAGGTGAAGGCGGTTCATTGCTCCGTTGCCTCATGTGAAGTTCGCACTGCCCTCTGCAAAGCAGGTCAAACTGCTTTCAAATCACCCTTCAGCAACAGTGGTACATCAGCAGAGTGCGAGGTAAGCAAGGTGTGCCATGTCAGCACGGTGCTACGTAAGCAGGGTGCCACAACACCGGAATGCCACGTCGGCACCGGCCGTTACAGGTTTTCACCTGCATTGGCCGTTGCAGCTCATCACTTGCACCGGTCGTTGCGGCTCATCACCTGCAGCGGCCGCTGCATGGCAAGGCTCTTCATCACCTGTGCCTGCACCGGCAGCTGCAGTGCTCCTGCTACTGTCATGTTGCATACCGTAATGGTGCAGACCAGAACAACAACCGACCTCTGTCACATAGTACAGGATAGCGCAGCGGAATGCTAATGTACCAATGATCAGACCAAGCAATGTCGCAATGCAGACCGAACATACATCATCCTCATCACAAGGTGTGAAGGGGCCTGGCGCTCACACAGGAAGAATGTGCCAGTCCCCAAACATACACTGATGAGGAGGAGGGGAACCAGACGAAGATGAGGGGGAAGATGAGAATGTTGTCAACACCAAGGTTTCGATATAGGTCTCAAATAATCCCTTGTCCACTGTCTCAATCCCAATGTCGAGTCTGAATCCAAATGTCGTCAAGTCCCAAAGTCACAGATGTCTCTCTCTCTCGTACTCTGCATATACGAGAAGGGAGAGATGGCGGACTTAGAGGAGGAAGAAGAAGAACTCTCACTTGCTTTCTTGTGCCAAGTACCAACCTGTAAAGACTGTAAAGGTGTCCCCTTGCTGCAGGTACATCGAAGACGAAGCTGGAGCTATGGCGCCATAGGTAAGTGTCCCTCGTCTCAGCCAACCATAGGCAGCAGATCGTTCTATACGCAGCTATGTTGCATGCACGGCTCCCATACGGGCCCCACAGTCGAGCAGGTCATTCTATAGGCAGCATTACTCGACGCGCTGATGCTTTTAGTGTGTTCGTTTACAGCGTCGGACACATAGTTTGTCGTCGCATCAGCAAGGCGAGTGGGAGATTTTGGGCCGCAGCCCAGCTGCAGTGTGCGTGTTACATGCCCAATTGGGCAATTTAAGGGAAGCCAAGGATCCACAAAGTGATGAAAAGGACGCGAAGGACAATGCAGTGTTAATAAAATCTCCGCAAGCAATGTTCGTCCCGATTCCAGCAAAATGGTACTTCGTAACACAACGAGAGACTTGGGCATGAATCCCGACTTGACTGGGACTGACATGACATCTCATGATACTTCACACCTCGGGATTCATGCCCAAGTCTCTCGTTGTGTTACGAAGTACCATTTTGCTGGAATCAAGACGAACATTGTTTGTGGAGATTTCATTAACACTGCAAAATGAGATGCCCAACCGTAGAATACCATAATGGTCCAAAACAGAGCAAGGACCGACCTCCTTCACAGAGTTAAAGATAGCGAAGCAAAATGCTAAGATATCAATCATCAACCCAATCAATGTCGTAATACAAACCCAACGTACATCATCATCGTTGCACGGTGTGAGTGGCCTGGAGCTGCAAACAGAAGAATGTGTGAGGTACAGACCATACACAGACGAAGAGGAGGGGGGTCAGACGAAGACGAAGAGGGGAGATGGGAATGTCGCCAAGACCAAGTCTTCGTAACAAGTCCCAAATAGTCCCTCGTCAAATGTCTGAATCCCAATGTCGAGTCTGGATCCAAATGTCGTCACCGACTCGTCAAGTCCCAAAGTCACAAATCTCTCTCCATCGTAGTCTACAGATGCTGAGAAGCAGATAGCGAGAGGGTGAGGAAGAGTTGGTGGACTTAGAAGAGGAAGAAAAAGAACTCTCTCTCTCTCTCTCTCTCTCTCTCTCTCTCTCTCTCTCTCTCTCTCTCTCTCTCTCTCT